AGTGACAATAATTGATTTTGTCGATGGTAAGTGATATTGCACAGGAATCTAACACACTGACACACATTTAATTTGATTTTTTTCTCTACTGTAATACTATTGCCGTAAACTATACATATACAGTTGATTTCTTCTATATGTTTACTAAGGTATATACACAAATGGTCTCAAAAAAATATATCTATATTTATATATACATCACGTTTAGTATAAATTTAGTTGAATTCAAATAAGATTTGATGGTATAGAAAAAAATGCATGTTTAGTAGTCCTTCAATATATTGAGTAGATATACAGATATTATACCTATCATTATTAATAAAAAGATAGTTAAAAGTCAAGGTTATTCGCTAAATAAGCACTTCGATATTTTTGAATACTCTACTAGTATTCTTATTTTGTTTTCTATGATTCGAAATTAGTTTAATTTTTCTAATAATTTAAAACAAAATAAAATGTGTATAACATATACGTTATACAATAATTAAATGTAAATTGTATCTTATAAATTGTGTCACAGTTATTCAATTAAAGTGCAATTTTTTAACAAAACTTGTTACTCATATAACAATGGTAATCGTATGTGATCATTTGAAAGCAAATATTTTATTTTAACTTGCATATTTGATACCCCTTGACAACTAGGGTTAATATCTATCTTTTTATTTTATTTTTTAAGCCAAAGAACATTTATTTTCTTTAATCGTACAACAATAATGTCAGTGCAATGTTCATTATAATACATAAACGCATGGTAGTTTAGGTCGTAACTCAGGGTACTCTTTATCAGCCTATAATGCTGTGTTATGTTGACAAGGTTATTGATTATTAACTATATATATACACATATTTTATATATTTGTATTGAAAATTGAACATCGGTTTTGTCGACAAAACCGCTCTTCCTTTCCGTCGCGCCATGATCGCCATAGCGGCGGAATAACTAATTGTATATTTATTTGTAAGTAACTACATATCCTACAGACAGTGATAGTGAATGGAAATATCTAGAAGATGCGCGTACATATTGAACTCGGTGTAACAAGATAATTTTATAGATACTATTGTGATTAAGGGGGAAAAATCCTAACCGTATAGTAACCACATAGTCGGCTCGTCGGTCGAGATCGAGAGCTCCGGTGAGGTGTACGATGATCGAGGAATGCCGGAATCCGTTATGTCGTCCGAGTCAACGACCGTGGTTCAACTTTATGTTCCTAACCACGGCCACCGTCTTTAGAGCCTCGGTCGTTATATATTGCTGTGTGCGCACACACACAACGCCATGTATAACGATATAAATACCTACTATTATCATCGTTACACACACACATTGTGCAGGCTCTGACTCACTTGTGGCTTCCCAATATCGAATAGTTCGATTTATAATAATATTATAATTATACTCATGACAAACGATAAATAATGAGACTTATCTGTGGCAAAATTACCAAAGCGATCATCTTTGAAACCGAAACTAAGGATGTAAATCTCATGTTGTTGCTTTAATAATATTTTAACATAAAAAATGCGTAGTTTATTCTATTTTTTGTATAAAGTCCTTAAAGGTTCTTTCAAAGAGGCTCATTACTGTACCTTACAGGTCGCAAGAAACGTTTTATTAAATATGATATCATAATTTGTAGCTATAATAATAATTCCTAGAGACCTACGACTTCCCAGACCCCTCTATGCTCTAACCCTACTTTGCCTTAACCTTACTGTGCAGTTTTAAAATTGAACTATGATTCGAATGCCATACATAACTATTATGAAAAATTAATTATGATTCATATTTTTACTATTACGACGTAGGCAGACACATTCAGTTTTATTAGCCGAGAAGATATTTTTTTTGTGTATGGACCTACGATATCTTTTAATCACAGAACCGATTTCTTTGTATAGCAAGTATATTAATAAATCAGAAAATGGTTTCTAAAAAGTATTTTATGGGGACGAACATAAAAATGTTCACTCCTTTTCCTTCAAATTCAAGAAAACACACAAAAATGTCCAGAATTTTTCAACTTAAAATTATAACATGCTATAACTTTATAAGAATGTTCAAAATAGTTCCAAATTTGTATCGAATATTCTTTAGATAAAGTAATATCAATAAAGTTGGCAAACAAAAATATTCTATTAACTTTTTTTTTGTAAAAAGGATAACTTTTCTGTATTTTTTTTTAACGAAAAGTTTCAAGACTTTAATTGCAAAATGTACGGTTTTCTTAAAAACCTGTAGTTAAACTTTTTTTTGTTAAGGAAAAACCAAAAATAATAAGAAAATTACACTTTTATCAAAATAAATGTTTAGGTTGGTGTGAGTGAAAAATTCAATAGTTAACAGGTTAGTTTCGGTGTATCGGAAATAGCGACAACAAATTACTATGGACAATTGATCAACCCTAATCGTATTCACCGTAATACTCAAAATAATACAATTTTAAGCACATTATTGTCATTACTAAGTGATAAAATCACTTATCAGTGAGAAATCCTTGGTCATTGTATATTATATTATAATGGATTTCTAATAATATTAATTATTTTTATCATGTGTTATATTTTTGGAGTAAGTATTCACTCTTTATGAAATGAAAAAAAATGTATATTGGGGGTGTTCAAAGTTCTAAATTGGTCCATATGGGAAGTCTCTGAAAATTGGGTGTCATGAAGCCCAAGAACTTAGGTATTACAATCATCTTAATTAAAGCATTGTTGTAAAATTACAGCTATTAGAAAGCGGATGTAACTTGGGTTTTGTTTTTAGAATAGCTAAAACTGTTAGTAATATTATACTACTTGTTCAGATAATCTCCGCCTACGCTCGCAGTATAATATATGTAGTATTATGCGAACGACTCATCAGTGCGAGTTCGGCGAACCTTCTCGCCGTTTACGAGTTGACCTTGGCCGGTGATGCTGCGAAATTCGCGTCCGCCCGGCCGTCTTTGTTGTACAGCGTAGGTATATATTATATTATTGTAATAATATTCCAAAATCGGTAATACCGTAACCGAATCTTTTCTGTCTAAAATATAATAAATTTTCAAAAAATGTCAACGCTGTCTCCGCCACGCCGCATCACATCCCCGAGAACGACAGCAACACCTGCAGCTTCCCTTTCCCACACAAATACATCTGTAGTCGACGTCGACCGGGGCCAGTATAACATGTTTTCCTATTATACGGTAGACAATATTCGCGCATCGAAATTAAAGAAGTCGCTCGATCAAAACCGATAACGATAACTTTTTTTTTTCGATTGCCAAAAATCTCACCACGCGGTGTTAGGTGCACTACGGACAACGTGCTATAGCTTATCGGCAAACACTTATATTATTGTGAATCCGTCTAAGGCCCCCGGGGACGTCCCTATGTATCGAGCACATCGGCAAAGGAGAGCCGCGTTCGGGTAAAAAGTGATTTCTATATCCTAGCGACGCGACGCCCGTGACGTCAGACCAGTTGACTTTTTGATCCACTTTCTGATCCGCCGCCGGCGGTGATGTCAGTGTCGCGCATGCGCACGGCCTACAGCTAGGTCAACGGCCTCCGATGACCAAGTTCATCCTCTCACTATCGGCATGTGTTACGGTGTACGGTTAGGTTCTACAGACGCTCACAGGAGCGGCCCCAGTTTCGACTTTTACCCAAACGCCGTCGCAAGACCACAGTCGACGACAGTGGGCTTATCTCGGCAAATCTATAATCTATTATACATAATATAATATTATATGATACACAAACAGTATGAAAAGCCGTACGTGCATGATAGTCTGCTGCAGTTCGCGTTTGACCACCGTTAAAGTCACCGGAACGAACGCATCGATATGGGGGCGATCCACATTTCGACGTTACTCGTAGTAAGTTTTTGGAACGAGCTTTTGGGTTTAGCGCGGCTAACCTGCCCGAGACGGTCATTGTATAATATCATACACGAAGAAAGAGTGTGAGAGAGAAGGGAGGGGAAACCAGATAATATTTGCTGCGTGGTCACTGGAACGGTCAATGGCTCGGCGGCGCGAATATAGTTTACTGGAGCGTTGGCCGGACAAACCGGTAAACGGGTCGTTGAACTTGAGAAGGAGATGTCGCCGACTTCTGCGTTATTGCTATATTACATGCTTACAGTGTGTGTGTACGAATTAAATGAAGAAGAAATCATCCTATACCTAATGCGGTCGCGTGTACTCAAAGCCGGTAGTCGATACTGCGCCCCGTTTTTTGAGACGCCCGGCACAAACCGTCGAAAAACCCTCGCTCTATCTCCCTCCCCTCCCCGGACTGCAGGCGTGTAGGTTCTGCGACCGGTGACCTCCGCGTCTTAATGGGTTTGTCGAACCTTGGTGATGGCCAAAACTTGAATTTTTTTTTTTCGATTTGGGAGAACACACGTCTTGTTTTGTTATCCGGCGAGAAGAAGAGTTACAATGGTATAATGACCGTCTGCTCCGCCTATTCTTCGATAACCAGTTTCGCCAAATTATCGGCCCCGAATATAATATTATATTGAAAAATGGCAAAATTCGATTTCGGTCGACTCCGCGTCGATCACAGGGCACTCCCACATTCGAGGACACCTCCCGCTGGCCCCAGTGAAACGTTTCTCACGGCATCATCCCTGACTAACGTACCGGTGCAGAGGGTTGTTGCTATACATATATATATACTATTATTATTATGCGATGTTCTGTGGAACCGCACTACGCTGTACCGTTAACCGCGATAAAGAGTACACCGAAGGAAGGACTCGTGAGAAAAACACAAACACACATGTAAACTATAGGCCGTACTCGACACCCCCACCCAATATATTAGTATCGGGACCCACGGCTGTTGCCGGTGAGACTACCTGTGGCGTTTACTTTCAGAGTTCATCGACCGTTCGGCCTGCGCCGCCGCCGTCGAGAACCGGTCGCGTTCGGTTGGAAGGAGATACCGTTTCTTCCACCAGAGGTCGGTCCGTTTTGAAGGTTAAGTTTAAGGAAGTGCTTTGATCCGCAGTGTCAGCGCAGACAGGTGACCGTGCGAGTCTCGTCGCCGATCGGTTACTCTGTAATAATAATCATAATAAATAAATAATAATAATATTACAACTTGTTCGTAATTCACTGTGTTATTAATTTTTGTGTTTTTTCCATACATTAGCAATAACAATATTGTAATAGTATTATTAGTATTGACATCTGGGACGGATGATATTTGGTTTTTATTATTATCACTGTTTTTAGTGCGAATATCTATTTCGGTTTTTTTTGTGATTTTGTTGTATTCTCGCGCATTGTGTTGGATAATTTGTTAAAGGATTTCCATCGGGACATGTACACGTAGGATAACATCGGCACAATTATCAAGTGAGTACTCAATTACATAATTATGTTTATTAATGGACACTAGACTTTTTTTTAAGAATAAAAATAAACAATAAAATTGCATATGTTAAGCCTTAAGGGTTCCAATAAGTATAAAGAAAGCAAAATTAGTGTTATCACCAAAAACCGCCTATATTTATAATTATTATTAATTATCGAGAAACCAATTTATTAGATTTAATATTATAATAGATTGATTTTATAATTTAACGTTTGGAAAAAACAGGTTTTAAACAATTATCATCGAATATAACTGTACAGCTATAACCTAACCTATCTGTAGTTTATAATCAATCTTCAACTTTTTTTTTAAGTATGTTTAATTAAGTATATTATATAAAATAAACAATTATTATAACATTTCTTTTTACAAATTAAAATGAATTACTTAAAGATGAGCACCCTCAGTAGGGACACCTCATATAGTCCTATCGAATCTTTACGTTATGTATAAAACCGAATGTGGTTAGGCTGTGACGGGTGTCATGTGTCCAATGACAACAATACTCTAACAGGTCTTATACGAAATTTTGAAGGGGATTCTCCCCAAATAACTCACACGGGATTAGGATTTTTTCAGGTATTTTTTTTGTTTCATATGCTTTGTTTTTTGCGCACGTGCGATACAGTAATTGGACTTTTGCCAAAAACGATTTTTGTATACTATCTCTATTTATGTGACCGTCCCTGGAAAAAGGGATTTTATCTTCTATTTTTCAAAATCGGGGTTTTTTAATTATGTTATATTCGATTAGCGGCTGATTACAATGGTGTCTCGATTTCAATGATAACTCGATCCTTACAAAAGTTATGAAGTTATTAAGTTTGAACTTCTAATACGTTAATTAGTTATTAAAAATTTAGTTTTGGCTCTCCTGAACCATTTGCTCCGAGAAGGCAAATAATATATTATGCAGAAGAGGCGTCGCCGATACTCTCTGACCGTTGCCGGTACAACATGCCGTGGCGTTATCACCATTCATTAGCTGGAAATTTTGCGCGCTAATAGCCGACCGGGGCCCAGAACCGACCAACGCTTCGAGCCGTTGACCAGTGCATTGTACTCTCCGGGAGGGGAAGTCACGGGGGATTTTAAGGTCTGGCGAGAACGATCAGGGCGGTAGCAAGGGGAAACACTACCCCTCCGGGCCACGGCGCGCGCGCGCGCTGATCGACCTTGTCGGCCGCTGTCTCCCCCCTGCCTTCCTCCCTATGGCCTCCACCGCCGCCGCCGTATGCAAGGTCGGTGAACCCGAAGCAGAGCTATGGCTATGAGCGACGTACACACAACCAGACCGCCGCTGCCGCCGTCATCCCCACTCGGTGTAACCGTGGCCTTTCGCCCGTGAAAAAATAATAATAAAAAAACACTCATGCGGACAATCCGTGGCCGCCGGAGGAAACACTACGTTATGGTGTCATTACCCGAGGCCGTCCGTCCGTCGGCACCTGTGCCAAAGTATCTTTTGTTTCCATACTGTAGTATTCTCGTTTACCAGCTTCCAGGTAAGACCGAGCTCGGTTCGGCCAAAGCGAGCAATATTCAGATCCGAGCCGATCACTATTATATTATTTACACAAAACCAGCTTCGCCAAAATTATTAGGAAATCCAACTGTCCCTTGACGTTTCAATTCCCGTTCCCGGGCGGGTTGTTTAACACCTATCGGGTAGTGTTGGTGATGACCTCGAATAGAATATAATATGGTAATGAACGATTATTATTATTATTGCGTCGTCCCACGTACGTTTTGCTCGCGTGTGTTTGTTTACATGTCCGGTCGTTGTTGTAAGCATATTATTATTACTATGTACACATGAAAAACTGTTAAGCTAAAAAACGTTGAGCTCGTACATTGGCCATTGCACAGGCGAACGGGTCGGACGGTTGCCAAAAACAGCAAAAAAATAAAAATAAAATTTGCGTGCGACGATTTATTAGGTATAATACAAAAATAGCCTAGTGCAGTAATAATATACAGTTTTTTTTTCATTATAATGTGCGTTTCGTTTTCATCGGCACAAGACTGTTTTGCAAGTGTGGTTTTTTTTTATACCGGCGGTCGCAGTTGTTTATTTCTGCCGCACATCGCCGGGGGTTTGACAATATTAGGACGTTGCACTCGAAACGAAACCGATAGGAATAGAGTAGTTTTTTTTTAAATTTCGTTACTCTTTTGTATTATAAGACGCGCGTTTGGAATTATTGCGAGACTGAGGTCATTGGTCGGTGCCGGCGGCGGCAGTAGTGCGTAGGTATGCTGAAAATGAGAGGATACAGAAGTGTGTGTGGACAGAGATTGACACGGCCATTGGGTTTTTTTGATCTGCTCGCGCCAGTATTTTAGCGTACGCTACACCATATTATAGCAGATGACGTCGTCGTAGTTCAGCCAAGTTCATTGGCCTCCCCGCCGAGGCCGCCTCCGTTGCTTATAACAATAATTATGTTTAACCTGCGAAAAAACACTTAAAAGAAATATAGGTATATTTATTTTATCCTACGTGTAATAATCATTATCTGCATGTATGTGTGTGTGCGTAAGACGGCCTCGGTGTAAGGTTGCCGCTGACCGAGGATGAAGGAACAATATTTTATTGACTCCACTTCTGGGAATAGCAAATTTCCATTATGTGTATCATAATATAATTCCCAATAAATTACTAAGGGTATTTTTTATATATTTTTTTTATTAAATCAATCATTTCCTTCGGGATGTCATATAGGTTCAAGTGAAATTCTAGGAATTGCGCAACGTCGTCCGTCGTCAAGAGACGAGTCCTTTGTCAGAGTCGCAGGTATGATATTATACCTATATTATAATATCATCATCGCGATTGATCCGTCAAGAGCCGCCGTATGAATCTAACGTAATATAATAGACTGGCCTTGTATCGTTTCTTGTACTTCGAAAAGATCACACGCACACACACACAATCTTAACTTGTAAATTGCAATAATAAATTAAAAATAATGTTTGCCAATAGATATACAGATGATGACTGATGTTAACGAGTGGATATTAATATGTCCTAATAGGTATTTCGTTATTTATATTATAGGATTAGATAACATAACCACATAAACTACAAGGTCGATGATTTATTCTATAACATAATTAATACATAGAGCTCCCATTAAGAAAACAAAGCGTAATGACGTTTAAAATGAATTATCGCAGTCGTCTGGTCGTTGGATTGACGATGATCATTATGGCTTACGAAAGAGATAAAAAAGAAGAAAACTGTCGGGGGGAAAATATTGTCAATTTGAAAGGTTCATTAGTTATATTAGGTTCTTTAGAGACATCGTTGTACGCATGTATATTATACAACCCCCTATATGGCCTTCGGGAAAGGATCCTCGTCCTTGGAAGTACCGTTTTCTCTATAGTCCTAGGCCTGGGATGAAGGGTAGTTTTTAACGGTATAATATAATATAATACGACCGCACCGAAGCCCAAAGGTCAGCAAACGGATATTTGTGACATCATACCAAGGTCGGTGCGGCGCCTTTCTCGAATTCGACCCCGGCAGTAATTTATGAAAATGTACATAACTAAATAATTGTCTTGTGTCCAATTGAGAAACATGTTTGCCCAGCTTTGGCCCGCATAACTGGCGTCGCCACTGCGGTTTCTGATGTGTTATTATAAAGGATAAAATGTTTTTTATTTTTTGAAAAAAAACTCGTGCCAAAGCTCTTTGAAAAGAAGAGTGTCCAACGCCCGTCCGGTTCGTTTCACTTACAAAGAGGTCATCGGTCCGACGAGCGCGACGTGTATTTTTTTTAAATGTCTTTATATGCCTCGAGCGTTTTTTTTTTTTTTTGGTAAGGGGTTTTCGTCTGATTTGGCGACGGTTTTTCTTTTTGGATTTTTATCATTTTTTTTTTTATTATAAAAACACCAACGGCCACAGTAAAAAAACCCTTTTTGCGACGACGCGGTGCGGTTGGCGTGGCCGCCGCCACCGACGGTTCAACGACCGGTCACCGCCGCGCCGTATAGCGCGTTGCCCGTAAAAGTCGTCCGTATGGCTAAGGAATACATATTATTATTATTATACACAGGAGTGAGACACGCTTTTTTTCATTTTTTTTTCCTACATAGGTTTTACTTTTTGCAATATTTTTATATTGACAAACGTTTATTTTTTCACAACTATGTTTTCTTTTGTCGTGCATATCGATATTGTCCGTCGCATAATATTTATATTTATAAATATAAATATGTAAAACATATGCTTACAGCTTATTAAAAAAAAAAGCCAACGATACAACCATTATAAGTAAATATACATACATTTAGTTATCATAAACCATGATAACCATCCGTATACCTATAAGCAGTAAACACAACTTATTGACTTCAGTGCCTATAAGCCGTTTTTATAATTTATAAGAGGATTTTGAAGAACGAATTAGGTCGGAGTTACGACATAGCGGTGGCTGTATAATAATAATTAAGTTTTTTTTTAACAATTTTTATTAAAAAAAGAAAAAATCAACTTTATTAATTTAAATAAATAATCCGCGCAATGATAAATAAAACGCATCTCCTTTGCAAGAAGATGTGTATGTGTTTTTACATAAAATTGTGTTGTTCAAGTGTTAACACTTTACACACAGCTCGATTGTGTGCGCACTTGTAATTTATTCTAATTTTTGCAGACGCACTTTTATTGTTTGAATTGTCTCATCGCAGGTGGCAGGGCTGTTTTGAATGACGTTTCGCGCATATTTGTTCGGCGCTTTGATCCAAATGATTTGTTTGGGTATTTGGTATTTGGACGTAGGTGTTCAAAAACCATAAAAATATTCTTCACCATTAGCAGTATGATATATTTTGTAGATGAAAAATACTCTATTGGGCAATAATATTATATAGTATAGTGAATCTGAAAGAAATACGACAAAACTATCATAATTAGAGTAATTTATCGTTGTTTTCTAATGTGTAGTATTGAAATAAAAGTTAAATT